CTGTCAGACAGTGGACTTGTGTCCATTTTTGACCTGTCAGACAGTGGACTTGTGTCCATTTTTGACCTGTCAGACAGTGGACTTGTGTCCATTCTTGACCTGTCAGACAGTGGACTTGTGTCCATTCTTGTCCTGTCAGACAGTGGACTTGTGTCCATTCTTGTCCTGTTAGCTCTCAGTGCTGCATTTGATACAATTTATCACAATATTTTATTACGTAAACTTGAACTTGATATCAGGATTACAGGAACAGCTCTAAAATGGTTTGAGTCTTTTTAAACTGATATATTTCCAGAGTTTGTCATGGAGTATGGGGGTGGCTGTGGCAGAGTGGTTAGGGGAGTCGTCCAGGAACCGGAAAGTCACCGGTTCAATCCCCCGTCCAGCTGTCTCAGTTGTTGTGTCCTTAGGCAAGACACTTCAGCCCTAATGCCTCTGATGTGTCCCATCAGTGTATGAATGTGTTGGCACTGATTAGTCTCCATAGATGATTGTACATGTTATCTCTGTAGAGACCTAACAGAGTGCTGTGTGAATGGATAAATGAGGACACAGATTGTAGAGTGAAGAGCTTTGAGTGTCCTGGATGGATAGAAAAGCACTATATAAGTACAGTCCATTTACCACTTTTAACTTTTGTTTTGTACTTTTAAACCTATAATGTAATATTTTCTACATTTGTTTAACTATTTTTTGATTCCCTTTAGCTTTTTACATAAAATTTTAAGATTTTTGAGTGAGGTTCCCTATTTCCAAGTTTCTAGCACGATTGAGGCAGAGCGGTTAGGGGAGTCGTCCTGTAACTGGTGGGTTGTCGGTTTGATCCCCCATTCCAGCTGTCTCAGTCATTGTGTCCTTGGGAAAGACACTTCACCTGCCTTGCCTTCTGATGGTGGTCAAAGGGGCCGGTGGCACAATGTGGCATCAAAATTCTTTTCCAGGATTCAACAAAATCATTAAGCATTGTGTGGCTGAGTGGTTAGAGGAGTCATCCTCCAATAAGAGAGTTTGTGGTTCGATTTCCAACCAGGTTATCAAAATATCTCATGAACAACTGGATTGGTCTGGAGGAATATTTCATCAAATAGTCATGGGGTGCACATCTACAACTGATTACTGTTTGGAGTCAATCGATGATGATCACCACAGCTAATCTTAAGTGTACATAAACATGAATACACCACAATAAACGTGGAAGTAGCTGACAGTCATTCACAACACATGTTCTATCAGCTAACAGTTCATATGATACACTACAATATCCTGTTATTTTCAAGGCTTTGATGGAAACAATAACTTCTTCATTTCTCAACATTAACTGATCTTAGTTTGACACTCTTGTGAGAAAGTGCCAGGTGATATGATTCACTATGCTAGGCTTTTATTCTGTACAGATTTTGTACAGATTATGAGATTTATTTGGGAAAAGTTTATATATTTATTCACAGATGTTTTGGTTTTTGGGGAGTCTTACAATAATGGTTCTCAAACTGTTGCATAAGTACGGGTGGTACTCAAAATAACTTTAGTGGTATTCAAGAAGATTTCAGCAAGAAAC